TATCTCCTCACCCAGGTAAAGACGCTTCTTTGTACAGTCTAAGACTATTGAGCTTTCGGTGGTTCCTTTTCTTCATTATATGCCTGCAACAATATTGATTATCTGGATGAGCCTGTTATCAAGAAACCAAGTGTTCCTTTCTTGCTCTGACTCCAGTCATCAATGACAGATTGCTGGCGGCATTTGGGCAGACACCGTGGGTGGGAAACTTGTCTTGGGATTTGGGGTCGTTTGGTGGTCCATCGCAACAGTTCTCACTCCAGTCGCTGCTAAACTTGGGCTTCCTTTCCTGCTCGCCATCCGTGCCTTTATGGGAATTGGCGAGGTTAGCTCATTGTTCTACTTTATCTTTTTCGTTCTCCCTATGCTGACAAGAATAAATAAAAACTGCATCAAAATTCGCAACCGAATTTGGTATTAGGCGCATTTCTGTGTATAGTTATATTGGATAAAAATAGTAACGATGTTTTTAGGAGTAAAAACCATTTTGAATCATTATATCTCTGCTCGACATAACTTGGTTTTCCCCGCACATCTGTTCAGGGTGTTGCTATGCCTGCAATGAATAATATCTTGTCGAAATGGGTTCCTGTATCAGAGAGAAGTAGATCACTGGCACTGGTCTACACTGGCATGGATCTAGGATCAGTCACTGGCTTCGCCTTTTCGCCGTTTTTGATACATCAGTTTGGCTGGCCATCAGTCTTCTATTCTTTCGGTTCTCTGGGAACAGTTTGGTTCGCAACCTGGCTAAATAAGGTGACTTCTATTGCCATTCAGAGGGATGGATTTCTATGGCATTCTTTAAATTATGCTGCTGGATGAGATCATATCTTTTGAAAATTTTATTTCGGGGGGCTCTGGTTGCAGGCATACAGTTCACCTCTTGATGATCCTCAGCTGCGGCCTGAAGAGAAAAGGCTGATTTTAACCAACAGCGTTCCAAGAGAACCTGTGACTACGATACCATGGGGTTTAATACTGTCGAAACCACCTGTGTGGGCCCTAATAGTGTGTCATTTCTGTCATAACTGGGGGACATTTATTCTTCTCACATGGATGCCGACATACTATAATCAAGTAAGCTTTGGACTAATCCCTTGACTTTCTTGTTCACTTGATCACTGATAATATTACTCATATGATAATTGGTCTACCAGTGGGTTATCATGGACTATCTTTCTACAATAATTGACATGCTTCCATTTCATCTATCCCTAAAATAATAACAGGTGCTAAAGTTCGATCTCACAGAATCGGGGCTTGTATGTATATTACCTTCGCTTACTATGGCGATTTCTGCTAATCTTGGAGGTTGGATTGCGGACACTCTTGTCAGCAATGGCTTATCTGTGACTGCAGTTCGCAAGGTACCTTGTTCTAACACTTCATGTCTTAGTATTAGGAGAGCAACAGCAGTTCGGGAAGATCATAATGAAAGTAATAAGAATGAAAAAAACTGATCATGTTTCTCACTGACAAAATATGCTCGATCTTCAGCTTACCGTGACATTATACTTTAACTGGCTATTTCTTATAGTAAGAAGTCCTTTAATCAGTTGCATATCGTTTAGCAAAGCTATGTCGTTATTAGCTTCTCTTGACTTCTTTCTTGTGCTTTGCATTCACGTATATTGATCCGGTGCCAGCTTGTATCGTATCGTGCAGATCATGCAGACAATTGGATTTCTTGGACCTGCTTTTTTTTTTACCCAGTTGAGCCATGTTGACTCTCCTGCAATGGCTGTTTTATGCATGGCCTGCAGTCAGGTTTGCCTCCATCTCATTGAATCTATAATGTTAATGTGTCAATGTATTATATAGAAGCAAAAGAGAAATAATTTTACATTCAAAACCTCACTTCACCCATCAGAAGGTTTTCTTCAGTCACTTCTAGTCACTTCTTCCTTTGACATTATGAATGCTTCTTAGATCCCTCTCATTTCTTTCTGAATGTCATGCAATCGGTTTAGTATATCTTTTGAATGATCTACTGTGGGCTTCAGTAAATTGCTAACATCACCCTTCTTTCTGATTTATTGCTAGTCAGAATGATCATCAAATTTGAAGCGGTTATTTCATCCTTTCTTTAAAGGAAGAGAAGGCATCTAATCTCTTTCCTTCCATTGATTGGGACATTAGATTAGGCCAGTATGCTGGCATCTTGACTTCATTAAATCACTGGATGTAACCGACATTCATTGAAAAACTACATATTGATCTAATCTGATAAGTTATATTTTAAACTGCCTGTCCAACTTTGATTTGATCTGCTTTCAAGCGACGAGACGTTACCTTATACTAACCAGTTAGAACTCTTTTAAGCAGGGAACTGATGCATTCTCGCAATCTGGTTTGTACTCGAATCATCAGGACATTGCTCCCCGCTACTCCGTAAGTAGTATTTCTTCATAATTCATATCTGTTAATATCAGTAAAAGGGCACTCCACTCTGCAGCATTTGGAGATGAATCCTGATCTTGGCTAGGTCCAAACAGAAACATTGTTCAACTTCTTCTGATGACCATCTCAGGAACTATGCACCAAAGTCCAGTGTTACTAGCGTAACCATGTCATTTTCGTATTGTCCCAGCTAACAACTTTCTTTGGATTCTCTTGACAGGGAGTACTGCTCGGTTTATCCAATACTGCTGGCGTATTGGCCGGTGTTTTGGGGACAGCTGCAACGGGCTACATTTTGCAACACGGTGATTACCTCGTCCCTACTAATAATTTTAACTGCTGAAAACATTAAAATTGTTTGGAAAATATTTCAGATTGCCGTACAGTCTTCTCCTTTCTCTGCTTGCAGGGAGCTGGGACGATGTTTTCGAGGTTTCAGTCGGGCTCTACTTAACCGGAACTGTTGTGTGGAACCTTTTCTCATCTGGCGAGAAGATTTTGGATTGATCGTCGGATATTTGATCATCAACCTGTGTCGTGCCACTCACCCTGCATCTGATCTGTAAAGAAAGGCTTGGATAAGGAACAAGAGAAACCGATAAGACCAGAAGAGGCGGGACAGTTGCACGGTGGTTGGTACACATCTTTGCTGAAGTCTGAAGAACTGGTAAAAAGCATTTGAGACGCCAAAACGATGGAACCTGAAACCAGAACTTTACTAAAAATTGCCGGCTTACGTGTCTTGTCCTATCGAATATTTGACTTTGCCATGGCATTAACACGAGTGGAGGAGGAAGAATCCATATGAGTTTATCTCAATACAAACTTCATGAATTTAACGTTGTATATACGAACATCAATTTTGTATGTCAGTAAACGTATTCTCGCAGATGGTATTTGTCATAGCTAATTCAATCTCTTCTTAAGTAACTTATATTCTCCCTGGAGTCTAGCCAATGGTCATAACAAACAAAGTGCAAAGGGACCCGCAAGAGTCTTGAACTCACCTTGATAGTGGCCTTCTTGAAATTGGTCGAAGTGTTACTGTTTGGGCTGAACCATTTTTAAAATGTCAACTCTATACTATTGTTCTTTTATATATATATATGTGCGCGCTCGTGCGTGTGTACATAGCGTTAAATAATTTTGCCATGAAGTTTCTACTAAAAAATTTTACTTACTCTAGATACTTTGTTATAGTATTTTGGGAATTCCATTCCACAGCTTATAACATTGGTTAAATAATTTTGGCATGTCAAGAATTGTAAACAAATGTTTCTTTTAGTAATTACTTATTTGACTTTTTTATATCTGTTAGGATGCCGCCCATATTACAAGTTAACACCTATGAATGTAAATTCATAATTCATATGTATTTGAAGCGCGATAAAAATAAATAAAAGAGGTGATTACATCATATCCGTGAGTTTGTTCGTACAAGATACTAGGGGTGAGCATCGGTCCAGGGTCAACCCTGGACCGACCCTAGACTAGCCCAACCCAGCCGATCCTGATCCGGTTCCCAAGGGGACTGGGTCGGTTATTGGTCCTGGAACCCTTGGACCCTGCACTGTGCGGGTTGGTCCTCGGTCCTGGGAGTTTAGGGTTGGTCCAACCCGATCCAATCCTGTATATATTATATATTATATGCTTTTGTCTACTCTAAACTCTAGCGTCTACTCCTCTGTTCTCTTCTTTCTTTTGCAGTTCAGATTGCCATGTAAATTAGAAAGTAAAAAGAAACTCAGCCCTAATTCGACAAACAAAATATAGAAACCCTCTTCGCTTGCCTCGCTTTACTCGCCCGCCTCGGCCTTGCTTGCCTCGCTCACCTTGCCGCTCACCTCACCACTCGCCTCACGAGCGCAACTCAGCGGGACAAAAATACTTTGTTAAGTATTAATTATGTGTGTTGTTGTTTTGTTTTTAGATGTTCGGAAGTTGAAGCGATCATTTAAGAATGAGCAAGATATGAAGTTGTATAATTCATGGTTTATATTAGGTACTTTGAACTTCTTATGGTTTAATTGTATTTCACATGTTCGTTTTCATGATTTATTGCTTTTAGCAAGTGTGAAATTTATATTGTTATCTTTGTTTGATATGTACCGGTATTCATAGTTTGGTTGCTCAATGTCGCATTATTGATAGATATGTAATTTGAAATAGTAAATTTATCCTTTCAAGGAATACAAAAAATGAAACAAAAAAATAATTAGTTGGTCCCGAGTTGACCCTGGAACCGGACCGGACCCTCCATAGGGTCGGTCCGGTCCTTGGTCTCAGGCTGAACGGGGTCGGTCCTCAGTCCCAAAAATTTAGGACCAACACGGTGTAGGTTGGTCCATGGGTTAGGTGCTAGACCGGCCCAATCCGGATCATGCTCAACCCTACAAGATACTCCAACCTACAAGATACTCCAAAATTTGATAATTTTCTTCCCTATTGTTTCGTAATCTTTTTTTTTTTTAAGTTGCTTTTTGCTTATTTGCAACATGGTCCTCGTGCCGGAGGTCCTATAGATACTTTTAAATTCTGTTAGTTAGTTGTCGAAATACTTGTATGATGTATTTATACTCAAAAAGTACATCTAAATGTACGGAACACACGACATAGAAGGCAAAACCATCACAATGACGACCTTTTTATGTTACAAGTATACTCTTGAATGAAATTTAAGCACTCCACGAACATGAAACGACGACGAATAACAATTACGGAACCGAGAACAAATTTTAACTTTGGGAGTGTGTGCATGAATTGCCATATGGACATGTAATAACCCTATACCGAAAAATCAAATTGAACGACCTTATTACGCCTTTACAAGTTCAAGCCAGCACCGTGGCGAAGTCGTGGGTTCATCCACGCCTCTGAGGCTCTATGCCAAGGCGGCAAGCTTCTGGGCCGGGCCTACGGGGGCCCGCGGACTCAAGTAGACGCGAAGCCCATTCTTCATGAACATGGTGAGCGACATCTTTTGCTCCACCCGGTGGCCGGGATCCGGCGACAACACGTAGCGGAGGAGCACCGCCGACGCCACCGACTTCATCTGCAGGTAAGCGAGGTCCTTCCCGAGGCAAGTCCTGGGCCCCGCGTTGAACGCCACGAACTTGTAGCTGTCCTTGGGCGGCTCGAACCGGTCACCCTGTGACGACAGCCACCTCTCCGGCTTGAACTCCATGCAATCCTCACCCCATATCGTCTTCATCCTTCCGACCGAATATATCGAGTACGTCACTGTCGATCCGGCGGGCACGAACGTGCCGTCCGGCAATACATCGTCGGAGACCACGTATTTGAAATCTTCGGGCACAGAAGGATACAGCCTTAGGGTCTCGGCCAGTGCGGCTTTTAGATATATCAATCTGCAAGGAAAAAATTATAGAAATTGTTTCTACAAGATAGATTCAATGTACTAAACTAATCACAATTGAGAAATTATACAAAGACTCTTGTGTTCTTGTGGGTGTAATATCTTCAGACATGAGAAGTGGGCCTAACCTCAATTTGAGATGATAGCTTTACAGTGAAGATAGACTCATATTACACAAATGATGTCACCGATGGCATAAATAGGAAATGCAAGAGTCTTTTGTTTTTCGGTTAAAATGTATTTGTCTTATTTCTAAATATATCAAAATCGATTTACTAGAATAACGTATGAAATGACGTAACAGACCGTAAATGACTTCTTTGATGAATAAATCGGAAGTATTGAACATAAAATTAGAAGTCTATCACATTCATTATGTACCATTGATTAAATCAATCTTCGTACGCTTCTGTTATTCTTTTTTTGTGTCATTGCCTGTATTAGGTCTCATTTTTTTATTTTGTATTACATAAGTCTATTCCATGAATTCATCATCTACCTGTCTGCCTCATCGAAGACCAGTGGGTCCTCCACCCACTTCGCCGGGTCGTCGCCGCGTGTCTCCCGGAGCACCGTCGTGATCTCCCGGATGATCTTCTCCTCCACCTCGGGGTTGTTCATCACCAGCCAGAAGAACCAGCTGAGGGCGACTGAGGACGTGTCACGCCCGGCGAGGACGAAGTTGAGCGCAATGCGCTGGAGGACGGATATGGGGAACAGGTTACCGTCCATGTCGCGCTTCTTCAGGAACCTCGACAGGAGATCATCAGACGGCATCTCCTTCCTTGCGTCGATGGCATCATTCATGTAGTTTTCGACGACCTCGAGGCTCTTCTGCAACCTCTTCTCTGAGCCGACCCCAAAGATCTTCTTCAACCTCCATAGGAAGCTCGGGTACAGCAACCTCTGGAGCGTCGCCTCGGTGGCGGTGTCGAAGGCCATGGCGAAGTGGTTCTCGGGCATTTCCGGGGACAAAGTCTCGGGGTCCTTGCCGAACGTTAGCCCGCATATGTTGTCGAACGTCAAACGAAGCAGCAGATCTTGCAAGTCCACCGAGGTTTTATCACGAGCAGCTTTGTCCAAAATCGTCCAAAGGCGCGACTTTATGGTCCGGCTGACCCACCGGGCCATGGCCTGCCTTAGCGTACGGGTCGTGAACTCGAGAGCCGCCGTCTTCCGCTGGATCAGCCACGTGTCACCGTCGCTGTTGAAGATCCCCTGGCCCAGCAGGTCGTGGAAAGCAGCCTGCCACGTGGGGCCCTTCGGGTAGTTGTCGAACCGGGTCCGGAGCACGTGCTCGATGTTCTTGGGGTGGCACGTGACGGTGTAGAATGCCTGTCGGCGTGCCACAAAGGGGAGCGCGATCGTGCAGGTCTGGTACGTGGCGGAGCCGCCGGTGGCGCGGAGGTTGCCGGCCATCCAGTCGTGGATACGCCGGCGATTCAAGAAGAGGGCGGGGAGGCTCCCCATGAGCGGCCACGCCTTGGGGCCGGTCAGCGTCCGGGCCAGGAGGTAGAACCAGAGGAGGTATGCCGAGGCAGCAGTCACCACACTGAAGAGAATGAGCATGGTTTCCATGAGGGGACGTGATCGATCAAGACTGGTGTGGTTAGCTTGAGAATAGATCAAATTAGAGAAGAGTGCAATGGAGCATTATGTGCACGAAGTCTCGTGGTACGAGAGTGTGTGAGAGAGGAGGGTTATTTTATGGGTTATATATAAGGTTGATCCCTTATGATTATGATAGCAAATGGAAAATTTAGGAAGGAGTCGTTGAGACTTTCTTGACGAATCTGAACGGCGACGCCCCTCGGATTCATGGGCATTGGAGGCTTGAGAGTGAATGTTGGAGTGATTAACGGGAGGAACGTGGGAAGAAAAACATGTTAATTAAGTACGATTTATAAAGTGAGCGTTCCAGTGTGCTGGTTAAAGCATACTTGATTTAAAATAACTCAATTTTCGAGACACTATTGTGCATTGTCATCACGAGGACAATCTGTGCGTTGGCTCGTATGATACTCATTAGCAAAGTCCGTTTGTAAATTAGAAAATTAGAACCTCTCTTATTAAATATGACTAGCGAAGATGCCTCCAATTGCGTCAATTTTTTCTTCTACTCCACGTTTCATGTGTACACATTGACGATATCAATGTTCTATCTCTATTTTGAAGAAAGAAATTGTCATAAGAGACCTGCGCTATCACTTTAAGGTTGTCGTCCCTCAAAATTCACTCTTGAATACTTTGCATGCAACGAGTAATTATTAAATTGCTCCAACCTCTCTATGGTGTGAAAAAAGACTATAATGAATTACTTTTTGAATCTTTTGGCTATATAGTAAGTGTAATTCCCGGTTTTGGTTTGATGGTGTATATGGTACGAATTTGTCCCCGAACTAGACTTGTTTATTGGTAATTACACATGCTTGATGAACAATTTGACCCTTTCGCTTATGAAATGGGCGCTTACAAAATGTGAAAAACGTACATAGGCATTACATATATGTATGACGTATAATAAGATTAATCAAATGAATTTGAAAGGCTTTAACATCAGATAGGAGAATCAATCACACTAAGATCAAATGTATTACTAATAATTAGTTTGATATGTTTACAATACTAATGCATTCCATCTCCGTACCAAGTAGAACTTTCTTAAATATATGTCCAACTCAAAACCAAACCAGAACCCTAGTTACTTATAAGAGCTGTTAATTTAACTTGCAAAGTCAATTCTCGTCTCTCTCTACATGGTCGGGTGTTTTTGAAGCGCAATGTCCTCATTCATCCAAATCAACGTTTCTTGCTTGTGAACCGTTATTACTCACAAAAAAATAAGTAAACCCCCTATCATTTGGTATGGTGATCGACTTGGGTAGATCAGACGACTCAGGTGAATCAGACGACTCAAAGATAATCTCTCGTGCATGACTACGAGTGCTTAGTTCGGGTTTGATTTCCATATGCCTTGAAGTTTTTAGAGTCTTCACGGTGCGAGAGGAAACCTAGCCACCGACTCCAATGACGCCTCTTCTTCTTAGATGGCGCACGCAATCATCTCCATATGCGTTGCGTTAGTCGTGGGAAAGACGAACTCTGAGGCTTTGCCCTTTTTGGCTGTCATGTGCTACGTGCCGACTCTTAGTTTTTCCTTTATTTGTCTGCAATATCAAAATCATTGTTTGGTAGAAATCCGTTTACTACTGAACCAGCAATCAGCAGCCCTTAATGCTTCTCATCTTCTTCGAGTGAGAAGTAATGTCGACCATGCATGCACGGCACTTTCTTGATCATGGGGTTAATCCAAAAAAGCAAGAATTCATTCAATATTATTACCAATTCTCAGCAACCCCTGGGCTTTGGCTTTCTTCCCCAAAAACCCAAGCGGTGACCTCTTTTCTTGTCATTCTTTCTGCCAAAAACTTGAGAGAGAGAGAGAGAGAGAGAGAGAGAGAGAGAGAGAGTCTTAGTAGTTAGAGACGGTGTACCCGCATTGAGAAACTAGGGTTTTTTCTTCAAAACATGGGGAAAAAATATGAAAAGGGTGTCAAGAAATCCAAATGATCAAGACCCACTTAAAAGGAGTTTGACCACTCTTGTGCAAGTAGTTCTTGAAGAGAGAGAGAGGATGTATCGAAGCGTTGGGAGGAAGAAATGAAGGTCATGAACGTCATCCTTTGCCCTTCCTTAGGGTAACAGCCATCTCCAGCTCATTGTTTCCAGTTTTCGGCCTTCGTGATCTGATGCTAATTTCCCATCTCTCCTTTTCTTGTAACGACACATAGAAGGTCCCAAAACTATACTTGAGTCCAATCTTATCGTCGCCATTAAAATTAACTTTCTAATTCTCGTAACTTGATGGAGAAAACTCTCTCTCTAGTCTAGACCGTAAATGACGCAAATGGAAGCGATTTTCAACTACCTCCAAAAAAAATTTCCCTGAAAAAGTTGATGTTATTAAGTATGAAAGATGCCCAAATATCACTATGTCGATGGACATATGCATAGATTATACATGCATCAAGATAACTATAACGTGATCTGTTCAATTTTTCACAAACTTTTAGATTCCAATTCACATCGAATTTTCAGTCACCATTCATTCTTTACACCTTCGAAACTTTTCTCGTCATTTTATTATGTACTCAATGCGTGCATGCTTTCTAATTATCAAAAAAGAGAAGGACATCGAATTGTGGAAATCGGTACTCCGTGTGACATTTACTGAGACGCTAATAAATTCCACATGCAATTTGGTTCTTAAGGACTAATTTGATAACTAAGCATAAGAAATCTCGGCCTATGAAGTTCGTGAGAGTATAAATCGATACTATTGAAAAGCTATGCATATGAAAACATTTAACATTAAGATTTAGTTTGTTTCGCAGAAAATGAATAATTTGGAAAATATCTTTTAAAAAACTATCGCTTGAAATAATTAGCCATTGGAAAATATTTTCATCTTTGACAGCAATTCATGTCTTAAAATTTTCGCGAACGATAAAAATATTTCTGTTCATTAATTTTTATAAACAATATAAACGATCATTTTTAGAAAATTATTTTTCAAATCATTCATTTTCCACAAAATAAATAGAGCCTGAGATTCTAGTAATGAATACAAGAAGTCATCGAACTGCACAAAGCAAATAACAAGCTTGGCTTGTTCTATATAGCAAGCAAAGGGTCTGATGAACCGCCAGATATCTTTGATCCACGTGGATTGAAGATCTATTCAATGTTGCTCGGGGATTGTTTTCTTTCCTTGGACCAACTGAATGAATAATGCAAAGCTTGACTATATATGATGTTTATGGACCTTTAGAAAACTGCCTCCTCCTTCTTGCCTCGAAACTACAACAGCCCACAGATTTAGGGTTTTGGTCTTTTAAGGATCAAATTGAGTATACTGTCCACATTTCATGTCGAAAGAGAAGTAGTTCAACCACGTCTAGGATCAGAAAATTTGTGACGGATCACTATTTCTTAGCCTAGCGGCGAAAGAATCAGTTACTCGGACATCTATATCTCATTTTGCCCTCACGCATCGTCAACCTAAATCAATTTATCCCAAATCCTAAACGACGGTGAATAATAGTCACACATAGAATGCATCACGATAATTGCTAACGAAGATGGTTAAAATCCGGCCATGCCGTTGTATAGAATCACCCCTCTTCTATTGCCACCGATACAGTGTTGAGGCGGCAGTCATGGGCATTGCTTAGAAAGGACAATAGTTATGACATAAATCGAACATTTTGATGCGAATGTAAACTCCTATAGTGATACTTGGGGAGAGCACCAACGATGGTCCCATCTTCCACCGTTTCACCTATCAAAACCCATATGAATAGGTAAACAATTTTCAAGAAACAAGTGGATAATTTATATATATGAATATAATGAAATTTCTGGACATAGTTCACTAGTGATAGTTGAGGGTGAGCGTTGATCCCGATTCAACTAGAGTACCGACTAGACCAAGCTGATTCTATGGTCGCGTAGGTTCTTGGGTAAAATATCAGGGAATGATTCATTTCGATGATTTGAGCAAATAAGCAATTCAAGCTTGGGTTAATTATGTAACTTAGAAGTGCTTCAACCGCTTTGCCAAATGGTCAGATCATATTAGACCCCACCCGAACACATTTGAGGAGGTTTAGAAAGCACAAAGTTTAATGGGGTAAAATGGCTTATTCCGTCGAGAACATGCACCAGGGTAATCCATGTGAGCCACCCCTCGTGCGCGATCACACGAGTCTTAGACAATCTAGTGGCTCGTGTAAGCCTGGGGTGCATCCGATCATGGACAAGCAGTCCCTTCCTCGTCCATTGGAGTCATCGGAGAGATCGGATGTTCTTGCCTCGGACAGAAATGGGCAGCCTAGTCCTCCTCGTGACTGAGCCTATGGGCCTGTGCAGAACTCCAGCAAAGACAGCCCAATTTGTCGGATAAGCTGATGGTTGAGGGTCCTTCCATGTGTCGAATTTCCATCCACACCTGCTGACAAAAACTCTCCAGCTGCATGTTTTTCCTCCCCAAGAAAAAAATAAAGGAAGAAACAAATTACTGATGGAAAAATGTTTGGGGGAATGAGGATAAGCCACTTGTGGAGAGTCTTGTGCTGGAAACGCTCCCCACAGCTCTGAATCGATCATCGCACGGCCGAGAATCGATGAGCATGAGCATGCAGATATAATTCGCACGCACCCGCGTACCATTCCCACACATTAGCGACCTCTAATAGGCAGAGAGAGAGAGAGAGAGACGAGGAGAACAAAGGAAAGGCCTTTAAGACATGGCTTCCTTAACCGCCATAGCCTTTGCTCCGGCCGCCGGGAGGGTGTTCGCCGCCACTGCGGCGAAGGGCGCCGGCGGGAGCAAGGAGGAGAAGGGGCTGCTGGACTGGATCCTGGGGGGCTTGCAGAAGGAGGACCAGCTCCTGGAGACTGACCCGATTCTTCAGAAAGTGGAGGGGAAGAACGGCACCGGTAGCAAGAACTCCGTCGCCGTGCCGGCGAAGAAGAAGGGCGGCTTCGGCGGCCTCTTCGCCAAGAAATGAGGATGTGGAGGACGACCCGACGACCACTCGGCTTGGCCACTTGATTCCCGGTGAAAATCGATTCATGAATTTTATTCAGTTCAATCATCTCTGTACTAGATTTACTCCAAGTCTGTATTTACTTGCTCTGAAGTCTTTTAAGGGCTGTTTAAATTCATTCTGGATGAGCCAAACCAGTTGATTTCTTGCAATTCCAGGAAGAAGAAAAGAACTGGGGGAAGTGTGTATGATGGTTTTGCATGCCTCGTTAGTTTGTTTCAAGATGCAGACGCAATGGCACTAGAATTTGATGCTACTAGAATGCACATTTTCTAGGTTTCTTCAAAGTACACCCCTTCTGTCCAACCACGTCTAGCCTATCAAGTGAGTTTAGGAATTTCCTTACTTTATTAAAAGAATGCTGATGTAGTTATTAGACGGGGTGGACAAAAAGAAATGTTATACTGTGAGATCACCTAACACTCTCTTGCAAAATACCCGGCTAGGATAGAATTCCCAAATTTATATGTAATGGTTCATGTTGACGTGTCATGTTCGTGTCTATCACGTTCAAGGTACGGTGCTAAATAAGTTAATTCAAACAAGACCCGCTTAATAATCATGTCAAAAAGAATAATCCTAACACGTCCAAAAATATAAAGAATCTTTACAATTAGAGGGTAACTGGAAACCGGTTATCTTAAATAATTAAAAGACAACTGATTTTAAAAAATTCTACCTCAAAACGTTAACCCAAACATGCCCTTTCTCTCTCTCATATGCTTCCGCCACCATCACACCCGTCTTGTCGTCACGCCATAGCCCTGCCCCTCTCGCTCTCGCTTGTGGTTGCACGCCACATCCATCTACCGCCACGCAAGTGGTTGCACTCGACCTCAAGCAACCTCATATTCGGGGCGCATACATGGGCGCGCGCGCACTCACACACAGAGGAAGATAGAGGAGCGGGGAGATGATGGTAGTGGAATAAATTTACACCTGATTAGGGGGAGTCCTATTGCCATGTATTATGCTGTATGCATATAAATTGATTCGCCGAATTGGTTTATAGAGTGATGCCACAGGCTATGGATGGATAGATCAATGAGTAAATCATATTCAAGAATCTGATAAGTTCCATCCTTTCGCATAAGATACCAAAATTTGTACAGTACTCTCAGTACAACTAGCATTATTGTACTTTCATGCATTTTTCCATCTGGATCAGTACCTTTTAAATTAGTAGACTATCTTACACTCGCATGGAACAGTGTTATGAGCCAATCGCTCAAATCAATGGTCTTTACCAGTTACCACTCCCTTATTTTAAATTATTTTTATTTAATTTAGTGAAAATTCTAGAAAAAGTCATAGCATAATTACTTGGAATGCCTTGTATCATGCAAAACTTCATCCATCAAGTGGGAATATCAGCACAGTTAATGTGTGAGGATCAGTCGAAACCTATATTTGACAAACAGTCAATTAGACAGATGCCATTAAGTTTTGATGGAGCACATGTATCTTTGGTTCTCCTTAATTCTTCAAAACATGCGTAAGAGAAAATATTCAACTGAGGACTGAGAAGGGAGGGAAGTTCCAGACACCATCTCATCTCCAGTCGATAGAAAGATCACACCAGAAAAACCAGAAAATACCCGCAAATGCTAAAGCTCAATAAGGAGAAATGAAAGGGAGAAGCTCGAACCTCGCCTTCACTTTAAGGCTATGCTCTACTGCTGGTGCTTGGTGTGCTTTGAAGAGACATTTACTCTCTTAATAGTCTTGAATTTCTGTTTCCTAATTGATTTGATGTTCTGCTTCTCAATATTGTAAACTCAGATGCCGCTTGTGTACATCTTTAAGAGTTTACATTTGCAAACATATGTAAGCAATCAAACTAATTAGTGCACAGCTTACAGAACAAAGCAACAACACATTCTAACGTACGTTGTATTGTCACCAGCAAAGAAGACATTCATTATTTAGTCTTGCGAAACCGATGTGCTCAAGTCTTCTTAACAGAAGGAAGATTTGAGCAGAACTCCGAGGTTTTAACTAACCCCAATGTAACCTGCTGATTTGGGATCGATCTTGGATGAGGAGGAGGATGAGCTGGTGGTGGCGGCGGGGGCATAGGTGGAGGAGTAGCAGAACCTACTGATTGGGAATTTGATTTTGGCTCCGGAAGAGGACTACATGGTGGTGGCATATGTGAGGGTTGTGGAGGTGGGGTGACAGAACCTTCTGATTTGTAAAAGCGTGGTGGTGGTGGTGGTGGTGGTGGTGGTGGTGGTGGTGAAGGTGGAGGCAGCATTGTAGAACCTTCTGATTTTGAATTCAGTTTAGGCCGAGGACAATGGCTAGGCGGTGGTGGCGGTGAAGGTGGAGGCGGAATTGCAGAACCTTCTGATTCAGAATTCAATTTTGGCTGAAGACAACAGGTAGGTGACGGCGGCGGTGAAGGTGGAGGCGGGGTTGCAGAACCTTCTGATTCGGAATTCAATTTTGGCTGAGGACAATGGCTACATGGTGGTGGTGGCGGCGGCGGCGGCAGCGGCAGTGGCGGCAGTTGTAGCGGTGGCGGCGGTGGTGGTGAAGATGAATGCTGAGTAGCAGAATCTTTTGGTTTGGAATTCAAATTTGGCTTAGGAGGAGGACTAGGTGGTGGCGGCGGCGGCAGCAGTTGTGGCGGTGGCTGAGTGGTGTTTGTATTAGTAACCGTACTATAAGAAGAAGATGATGACAACAACGCCGACGATGTCGAAGATGATGATGATGATGATGATGATGATGATGAGTTGATGTAATTGATGCAGTCCTCAACAGCTTCAGTTCTTTGTGAATCGAAAGAAGCTGTGGACGGTTTTGAGTTGACTGAGGAAGAGATCTTAGTTGGCCTCTTTCTCATCGACACCAGCCGTAAAGCTGCTAACACTTTCTCTCTGAGATGCTTCAAAAGCTTCCTTGGCGAAGAATCTAGCCTTGCAGGCACTCTAACACAGCAGTTTCCTGAGGCGGCTGTGCACCACCTTCTTCCGGCGACTTTGCCCACCGGTTTACACCTGTGCCTGTGGTGGTTAATCACAGGCCTCTTGGTTTCTTCCCTTTGACTCAATCTGTTGTTTCCTCTTGTCGACATCCTTCAAATAGCTTGCTTTACCTCAAGAAAATGAAGAAGAGCAAGAACTAGAGATAGAGAGAGAGAGAGAGAGAGAGAGAGAGAGAGAGAGAGAGAGAGAGAGAGAGAGGGAGTTGATGGGAGAAGCACCAAGCACCAAAGTTTTATAGAGAGATCCGTGTGAACTGAAACACTCATCCCACAATCTCAGTGTGATTGTGCGAGGGCGAGATTCGCAATGTGCATTTGGGCAGAGGAACATGCCAAAAAATAGGTCAGTGAGTGTTAGCTAATAATAGCTAGCATCTTGGCTTGGACATGAACCTTTTCCACATTGCCTTAGACATTAGAGATTAATTCCAAACTCATTTTTGAAAATACATATTCAAGGACCTAGAGAGAGGCATACTTTTCTTTTGGTCAACTAAAAACAGGGGAAGTTCTCCCTTTTCTGTGATTCCAGAGAGAAAACTCCCCCTTCATAAGCAAAGACCCCCAATTAACTCCATTTCGGCTTTTTTAAGATAGAATTTCCGAAAATACTATGGTTTCAAGGAAAGAAATTCTGAAAATTTCAATGATTTGTCTAAACAATACAGCCCCTAAACCCTACAAAGGCGTCACCGTCATCATAATTCCCTTAGGAATACTACCCTGCCCTACAAATCTCAGTTGCTCAAACAGGCCAGATCGTATTCCACAAAGCTACAAACAAACGAAAGACCCCAATTAGAAATGTTAATGGCCATGTAGGGTCACCCCTTTTCTAATACAGGTTTGAGATGACTAGAGAATCCACACGGGTGCATTAATAATCAATCCGAAATCAATACCATTAACCCTATAAACACAAACTCTAGTCCAGCTGAGGTATCACTTTCAGGAAAAGCAAGCATAGGAAATTGACACCCTAACACCAGATAGCGTACCTTTTCTCTTTAATATCTGTTGAGTGGCGCTTTTTGCTTCTTTAGCTAAAGAACTGCTCGAGCTCTTTTCCCTGTTCATGACTTCCCACTATAATTTTCCAAGTGAAGGGGCCAGAGAGTCAACAAAAGTGTCCCACTAAATGTTTGATTAGGAAACACTTCACAGCCCCATCCCCATCGGCATTTCTTTGAGCAGAAGGATTCTCTTTGGGTTATGATTGTCAAGGCGGATGCAACATATAAAACTCTGGAAATTTTGACACTTCGAAAAGGCTCCGGATGAACAATGCCCGCTTTTCGCTCCTGCACATTCATGCATTCCCTCACTTTTTGTCCCTTTTTTTCGTCTACCGGAGGGCCACGCATTCGGGAGAATCTAGAGGTCTTGATTAACCAGAAAACAGATTTGATGTCAAAAAGGATAGGTGTGAAGTGCATTAGAATGAAAAACACAAACGGATAAGTTCCCAAACACTAGGACAAAAGTTTCCTTGACTCGGACTGAAAGCATGGATAGCTTGTCCTGTCCTGATAAAAATGGGTCTTGCGAAGAAAACACATCAAACAGCTGTGATATGACAACGTTGTTCCCTCAAAAACTAAAACAGAAAGAAGGTCCTCCACTCTATGATTATGGTTTTGCCGGTAATCATTAATCAAGTACCAATCCAATAGCTTCGCAACATGCTAGATGAAAATCTAGCACACATTCGTATCTTACAAATAACTGATAGATACTTGAAAGACCATTTTGCCAGCAGAACAGCTAGCAGGAAAGTATTCAGGACTCATGACAACTCCAAGTAAGATGTCTTGTGCTCTCATAAAAAAAAGGGATGGCCCAGCAGAACAGCTAGCGGGAAGTATTCAGAACTCGTGACAACTCCAAAAAGGATGTCTTGTGCTTCCATAACCTGCACAAGATCCATAAATTCAGGGCCGCTCCTTTCACACAGATGTTTCTCAAGACCCATATATATTTCTTTGACAAGAGTCATTTCCCGTAAAGCTGCATCTTCTTATAAAAGGACTCGAATGACAATGCCTCTGGGCTTGGCTTGACTCACCTTGAATGAGTTTGTCCTCTTTCTTACCCAGAATGAGAAAATCATCAACTTCCGCGATTTCAATTCCATTTCTCCGAAACGAAGAAGTAGTAATATTACAGCTTTACTATATGCCTAACTGCCAACATGAATGCCATAGTAGGCAACTCTCTTCAGAAAGAGATAAATGTGCAGGACATCGAAGACAATTTGACCAGGCACAGTCGACTACTTCAATCTTAAGAAATCAGAAGGTATTGCACCAACCAGGCAGAGCAGCAATTCTGCAACGGGCAGCTTTCAGACATACACCGGTTCATCTAGGCCAACTGCAATTGGTTTAACCCAAGTATCCAAATTATTTGGCACGGCTCAGGAGCATTTTCTACTAAACCTTAACACTTTTTCTCGGCTTACCACTGACAGTAAGTTCACATAGAAATGGCAAACATAAACAATAACAATGGCTTCTTCACTAACTCTCAATATCAATTTGAACTGGAAAATTCTAGTGAAAAAGACATGTCTTCCACTTAGGTACGTCATCGACAAATAGAGGCTGCTACTGCAACAGTCCATCTGCACGTACACATTCTCACTATAATACTACTGGACTTCCCAAAAACACATCAAAAATTGAGATACGATTTCAAAGGGATAAAGAAACTGTCACGACACTGGCAAACCAAGAAATCCTCAAAGGCTAAGCACTTGTCTCGGAATTATCACTGTGGACCACATAAAAAGTGCATCTTTATCCGAAAGAAAATCCAACATACAGCTAAAAGAAGCACTATGTATCCTATTTACAATTCGACCTCTGTGTGTATCAATTCTTTACAACAAGAACCGACGGAACTTCCCTAATTCAATGGTCATCGTTCAGGACCAGCAAAACTTCCCCACCGTTGGCCATAACATTATCCAAGAATTCCCTAACTTCTATGTGTTGAAAAGCACAGGGTACATTGAGATCGCAGTCCAAATTATACCAAATAGCCTCAACCTCCCTAACCGTGACCCAATGCCTACCTTGCCAGAGCCCGGCATACCTTCTAACCGGAACATTGAGCACAAGACCCATCAATCTGTCATCCGAATCCTCCATACCGATCGCGGCGGCCCCGCTTCGGTGATCGTGCCACACCACCCTCTTCCCCTCACCTTCCAGAGCGGCGACAAGAATGTTAATGTCGTAATTCCCGGTGAGCGCGTTGTGGTGGGGCTTGAACAGCAGAGACAGCGGTGTCCACTTTTCCTTGTAGGCAACTCTCTTCAGAAAGAGATAGACATGCAGGACATCGAAGACAATTTGACCAGGCAACATCGACTACTTCATTTTAAGAAATCAGAAGGTATTGCACCAACCAGGCAGAGCCGCAATTCTGCAATGGGCAGCTTTCAGACATACACCGGTTCATCTAGGCGAACTGCAATTGGTTTAACCCAATGATCCAACTCATTTGGCACGGCTCAGGACCATTTCCTACTAAACCTTGACACTTTTTTCTCGACTTACCGCCAACAGTAAGTTCACATAGAAAAGGCAAACATAAACAATAACGATAGCTTCTTCGCAAACTCTCAATATCAATTTGAACTGGAAAATTCCAAGTGAAAAAGACATGTCTTCCACTTAGCTATGCCATCGACATATAGAGGCTGCAACTGCAACAGTCCATCTGCGCACACACAATCTCACTATAATACTACTGGGCTTCCCAAAAACACATCAAGAATTGATAAACGATTTCAAAGGGATGAAGAAACCGTCACGACACTGGCAAACCAAGAAATCCTCAAAAGGCTAAGCACTTGTCTCGGAATTTTCACTGTGGACCAGATAAAAAGCGCATCTTTATCCGAAAGCAAATCCAACATACAGCTAAAAGAAGCACTGTATATCCTATTTACAATTCGACCTCTGTGTGTATCAATTCTTTACAACAAGAACCAACGAGACTTCCCTCACTCAATGGGTCATCGTCCAGGACCAGCAAAATTTCCCCACCGTTGGCCATAACATGATCCAAGAATTCCCTGACTTCTTCCACGTTTCGAAAAGCACGAGGTACGTCGAGATCGCTGTCCAAATTATACCAAACACCCTCGACCTCCCTAACCGCGACCCAATGCCTACTTCGCCAGAGCCCGGCGTACCTTCTGACCGGAACATTGAGCACGAGGCCCATCAACCCGCCGCCCGAACCCTCCAGACCGATGGCGGCGGCCCCGCTCCGGTGGTCGTGCCACGCCACCCTCTTGCCCTCGCCTTCCAGGGCGGCGATGAGGACGTTGACGTCGTAATTCCCGGTGAGCGCGTTGTGGTGGGGCTTGAACAGCAGGGACAGCGGCGTCCACTTCTCCCCGTCGGGGTCGCCGCGGACGAGGCGCCCGGCGATCAGGTTCAGGCTCTGGCGGGTGAACGCGTCCTTCCTCTGCTCAGGGAACGCGCAACGAACGACAACATTATTCAACAGGGCTGATCGGGGGAAAAACCCGCAGCTGGACCTAAGTCCAATTCGAGCGCTACGGCGAAGTACCTGGAAGAGATTGTTGAGGGAGTGCAAGAGGCAGAACTGGAGCCTCTGCCGCTCGTGATAAACGCCGGGATTCTTCTCGCGCGACATCTTCTGGACTGAACGATTCGAATGAAGATGATGGTGATGGTGATGAAGATGAAGATGAAGCTTTCTAGGGTTTCAGAAAATGGGGGGGCGTTCGGAGGGAAACCGACGGGATCGAACGGAGAGCGTGCGCCACGCGCGGTGCGCGAGACGTTGCGTCACGGCGCACGGTCACGCGCGGGAACAAAGAGACGTGCACGACTTGATGACACCTCTTCGTTTTTTTTTTTTTTTTTTTCGGATTGATGACGCATTGACACGTCCTGTACTGATCCCAACACACTGATGCCGAAAATTTGTGTCGATGTTTTTAGAAGAAATAACGAAACAAATAGTCCTTGAACTTTATGCAATTTGGTCTATGAACTTTTAATTTATTCAATGTGGTCCCTGAATTTTTTGTACATGTTCAATTTAGTCCATGAATTATATGAAAATGTACAATATAGTCCATGAACTTGAATTAGTGGAAGGACTACATTAAACATTTTTATAAAGTTCAAGGACTAAATTGAATATGTACTCAAAAGTTCAGAGACTACATTGAACAAATTGAAAATTCATGGACCACATTGATCATTGAGTTAAAGTTCGGGAACTATATTGAACAAATTAAAAATTCAGCGATCAAATTATACATTAAGTCAAAGTTTATGGATTGTTTGTGTCATTTTTCCTTTTTAGTAAAACAAACGTATCATAAATCTTTTTCATCATTGATGAAATTGGATCTTCTAATTTTTGTTTCTACAATCAAATTCCCCCACTTTTTTCTATTTGTGCATTACAATCAGTAACGATGTTAAATTGTTAAAGCAGGGGGTAATGCAAATGTCCCGACAGATCGTCGAGGATCTCGCACCACTTGCAATGGCACAATGAGGGTGCGCATGGCACAACCCTTGCCGAGGCATAAGGCAACTCCGACAAGGGCCAAACTCGTGACTTATCTCCAAGACCAGTTATAATGCTTATTTTATAGGATAGCAGCAATCACTTGTTCATTTTACGCCGCTCTCATCAATTTGACTGCATTAGTATTGGTGATCGACAAAAATGACTTGATCAAATGCTCGCTTACAATCTATCATGTCACTTAATATGTGTAGTTAACAATTTTTAGCATTTCCCGATGGCTCTAACTACCCCCAATTGAAATGGAAACTTTATATGGCATTTTATTTAATTTAAAAAAAAATGACACAAATAGTCTTTGAACTTTGGCTCAATATGTAATGTGATCCTCAAACTTTTAATATGTTCAATGTAGTCTCTTCAAATTTTAATACATGTTCAATTTAGTTCTTGAATTATATGAAAATATTCAATATAGTCCTTTCATTAATTCAAATTCAGGGACTATATTGAACATTTGAACATTTTCATATAGTTCAGGGACTACATTTAACACGTACCAAAACTCCATGAACCATATTGAACAATTGAACATTAGGCAATAGTTCAGGAATTATAATTATAGTGAACAAACTTAAAATTCTTGAATCACGTTGCACATTGAATCATAGTTTAAGAATTGTTTGTGTCATTGTCCTTTAGTATAGTGAAGAGAACGAGTTTGACAGAACAGAAACGACGACGTAGGGAGCTAAGCCTGCATCATCTCCTCCCCTTCGGCAACCAGATAAGACTCCCTCCTTCTCTTTACCCCTCTTCTTCTTCTTCTTCTTCTCAGTCTCAGCTGTCTCCCTCCCCCAAAAATGGCGACTTTCGCTTCTCCGGCTTCCATCTCCTTCCTCTCCTCTTCGCTCTTCGCCGCCGCCACCGCCCACCGCAAAACCCTCAAGTCCGCCGCCCTCCCCCGGCCCAGTTCCTCGAAACCCGCTCCGAGGCCCCTCTCCGTCGCCGCCGAGCTCGCCACGCTCCCCGTCCTCAACTTCTCCGGCGAGAAGGTCGGCGAGACCTACCTCGACCTCAGGGCCGCGCCTCCCGAGACGGCCCGCGCCGTCGTGCACCGGGCCCTCATCACCGACCGCCAGAACAAGCGCCGCGGCACGGCCTCCACGCTCACTCGCGGCGAGGTCCGCGGGGGCGGCAGGAAGCCCTACCCGCAGAAGAAGACCGGCCGGGCCCGCCGGGGCTCCCAGACCACCCCGCTCCGGCCCGGGGGAGGCGTCATCTTCGGCCCCAAGCCGCGGGACTGGTCCATCAAGATCAACCGGAAGGAGAAGCAGCTCGCGATCTCGACCGCGCTGAGCAGCTCGGCCGGGAGCATGACGGTCGTGGAGGACTTCGGGGACAAGTTCGCGGCGCCGAAGACGAGGGATTTCGTGGAGGCGATGCGGCGGTGGGGGTTGGACCCGAAGGAGAAGTCGATGTTCCTGATGATGGAGGTCGCGGACACCGTGCAGCGCTCTAGCCGGAACATCGGGACTCTTAAGATGCTGACGCCGCGGACGCTGAATTTGTTCGACATCTTGAATGCCGACAAGCTGGTGCTCACGCCCGAGGCTGTGAATTTCTTGAATGCGAGGTATGGGGTCGATTACCAAGGCGACAGCGAAGAGGATGGAGATGAAGAGGAGGGCGAGGAAGGTTAGTCTTCTTTGGCTTTTTGCTTAGCTTCTGTGCGAACACTGACCCTTTTGACTTTGGTCGATTCTGTGATTGAAAAAGATGGAATTTTTTTGGTGATTCATTTCATATGCTTTTGGTAAGGACTGATGAGGGTGCTTCGTTTTGCTTTGGGTATTCTGTGCATTTGCATCACAGAGAGCTTACATTTGTGTGCTAAGTTGAGTACATCATGTTCCATGTCTAGCAATTAAGCTTTCTTGCCTGGACTTTTGGTCATTGCCTTTGTAGTATCATCGTGTATATCGCTATTATATGCTTTTGTCGGGGATATCAAGGGGATCAACAATGAAATTCTAGTTCTTGTACTTTTGGGTAATCGTATGCAGTCTCAGAATGTAAGTAATTGTGGGCAGTCATTGTTTGCAAAGACAGTGAAAAGGAATGTATAAATCCACTTCTGGTGTTCTGTGTAATTGGGCTTTTCTTTCATCAATCTTACTGGTTTACCCGCCACTGACGCAGGAGGCGAGTCTGATGAGAACTGATCTAGATGATGCTAAGTGCAACATTCCCTCAACCATTTTTAAGCTCCCCTGACCTGATGACCTTGAAGCTATACTCTGCATTGCGTATGCACATTTTGCAATTCGAAATTGCTGCAGATCTGGCTGAGGGTGGTAACTTATTGTCAAATTCTTCGATATTCAACTGTATGAAATGTGTTGTAGTTAAGGTTTTTTTCTGCGTAATTCTTTTCCGCCCAATTTGTTCTCTTTGGTCTGTCAGTCTGAATTTTGCCGTCTCAGATACAGCTCTCTAGGCCTTTATCTTTCTCACATGAGAAGTGCATATGTTCCTCTTCTGTGTTCTGTCATTACGTCCTGTGGTCAGTCCATTCAAAAAAGCGCTCCTTGTATTTCCAACCAAGTGCCGAAATAGAAAGATGAGAATTGGAGACTTTCTGATCATAGTTTGCATTTGTATAGATCCTTTCTCATCATGGACTCGAGGTTATAATGATCATAGCTAGTTAGAGGTGAGTCATTGTACCTACAAAATGATTTGCTACGAGAAGATGAGCAGTAAAATGTTACACTTCTCTCATTTTGAATTCACTTGTTCTTTAACTGCCGGGAAATCAAGCTCTCTCAGCAGTGTGATTGACGGTAGTTGAATATCTGACATTATTGGATAAGCTACGCTGCAGAATAGGCTGCTGGCCAACTTATGGGAATGTCACAAATAAATCCTGCAAAAATTGGAGTTTGCCAATGGTAAAGAAACTTTATGCGAACAGTGGTGCTAGCCAATGACGATTAGAGGCATTGATCCTTCATGTATTATATGTAATTGGCTGATTTTAGCGCTCTCATTTGCCCAGTTTTGCATTGAGATCATTAGTCTTGCTTAGCTCTGAGTAGCTGTTTCTGAATGGCCGGCCTTATGAGTAGGCTTCGTTGAAATTTCAAGATGGCATAAGCTGTACCTTCTCCTGTCTCTTTTTCTCAAGCCAAACTACGGCTATGGCTTTATCATGCTTATCATATTGCGGTTTCTTCAACTTCTTGCTGTTGTTTATTAGTCGTCTGAGTGTCGTGAGGCCTACGTATTTATGAGGCCTACGTATTTTGGAGATAGTTATCTTTGACGAATATGTTTAGGAGCTCTGGCAAAGGCTTGTTGAGAGCATGTCCTGAGTGAGTATGGAAGAAGAGGAGCTACACCTCCAAAGATACGAAGATCGAATCCCGTGTACACCCAAATAGTAGGAAAGTCTATTTAGACGATAACAAACAGGTTTGCGAAAAGCTCCGACTCCAGATTGATGCCCTAATTTACGTACTTTGCTTGTGTTCGGATGAGTCTTCTTCACATTGTTAGAGACTGAATACTCGGTTAAGCACTATCAGTTAAGCACTAATGTTTTACGTGATTCGCGTGTTATTTCATCAGAAGGATAACAAGATACATACTACTGAAGAAATGGATACATATTTTGCTCTAAGTCTCGATACATATCTCATTCTAGTGATATGTGTCCAATCTCTAATAGCTTAAGTTAGCTTAGAAGTCTCCAAAGAAGTATTTGCTATAGAAAGAAACAAGGGTACTGGAAAAATTTGAAAGAAGTTGACGACTTACTAGTTTTTTAGGTTATTGGTAAATTGATTATGTCATTGGTAGTTTACTAACCACACTCATAAAATTTGAAAAAAAAGTAGGTAATTTACTAATTTACTGGAATGTTGGTAATTCATTGTTGCGTTGGTATTTTTGTTATTTTAAAGAAGTTGGTAATTTGCTGTATATCCATTATTGCGTCAGTAGTTTACTGATGATGGCAATTATAAAATTTGAAAGACGTAAGTTACGTAGGTAAAATTTAGAATCAAATAGTAACTTACTAAATTCTTTAGATCTTGGTAAATTCATGATAGAGTTATAATCTACTAACTACACTTGCAAAATCTTAAAGAAGTTCATAACTTAGTAATCAATTTGGATGTTGGCGTTACGATAATAGAAACTTACGAGCCACAACTGTAAAATGCAAAGATGTTAGTAAATTTACCAATTCATTCGACGTTCGTAAAATCATTATAATAATGATAACCCATCAAAAACGGAAATTAACTGACAAAATGCTGTAAAGATTCCAATCCAAAATTTGGCCTTCACAAAAAAAAAAAAAAGGGTTTGCAAAAGGGAAGGACTCCAGTCCGTTGGGCAAAAGGTCTTTAGAGCTCCAAATGGCTTTGGCAAAGCGTTGCCAAACGCACCCTTGCTCTTATTATGTATCACCGACATCGTAGAAATGGTGGAGAAAAAAGGGGAAAGGGGATACCATTGTGGATGAATGCACTTTGGAGATATGACTTTGATCCTCTTAGTCCAATCATATCAATCCTGGATCCACATGTCCTGAGATTTTGGTGTACGTTGAGCGCATCATGGATGCTTGTGACACAAGCATTCACCAATGCAACCGGTTACTTGTTCGGTTTTTTTTTTTTTTCCTATTTTAGCAGTCTGGAATGAAATTAACACTCGTAGACAGGCACGCAGGCAAATAAAAACTTCCTGAAATGAAGGATCTCCCAGAAACTATCAACCAGGAAAAGATGGTACCTAAAAATGGAATGTCAAACCAAGAATGTCCACCAGTTAATCTAACTCCTGAGTTTGGCCTTTGCCCCTCCCTTATCCTCTTGTCCTTCTCCATCTCCCAGTTTCCAACACTAATCACAACCACCTCCAATCCTCTCTGCTTGTTCCTCTGATGAATCCATCACCTTTCACATTATCGATTCTCAAGATGGAAACTCTCATCTTGTCGCTGTAGTTCTCGATCCTTCCCGAAAACTACGACTCCTCTTTCTTGCATGATAAGTTGTCCTGAGACTCGGAGGGCAGATATTGCAACACAAACATCCAAAGAGTATGGCTCTTGAAGCCGAGAAAGTCCTCGCATGTATTTGCAGAATCCTTTCGTTATCTGCGAGGGCCGGTTATACATTCATCCAAAAGCGCCCGCTTGGTTCCGTGATAGCCTCATTCTTCCTCCTCCTGTATCTGTTTTTCCCATTTGTGTTCAAGCTTCTCATGTTTAGTATCCCAGTTGCTTTCTCTGCCATTGCTCTTGTTCGAGTTCTTTCTAGGGATGGAACTGGAAGTCTCCGAATCCCGAATGCCAGCAAAGACGAGAAAGGTAACCGTGCTTTCACGCCGGTAAAGCGAAACACCAGCGAGGAAGGTGCTACCAATACGGCTCACCAATACCAGAAGCCTTTGATACAAGCGCAAATGAGCAAACGTCGAAACTTCAAGACAAAAAGGGAAGATCCGGATGCTGAAGGTGGTGGTGCTAAGGAGGTGAAACGCGTGACTTTTTCTACAACTTGCGATGATAGTCTGATTGGCGGAGACAGAAAGGACCAGGAGAACGACCCTGGTTTACTTTTTGGGGGCGGGTCTTGTTCCTTGGGTAAAGGAGAGAGCTCCATTTCCCATGAATCAGATAGAGGAGATTTACAACCTGTGAATGAGCACCCGCTAACCTCAGAGTCGGGAGATCTGAAGCCTGAAATTGAAGTTTCTAATGATGATAAGGGTGGCGTTACAGGTCAGTTAGAGGCGGATATCTTGGCAGAAGCAGAATATGAAGACGAAGAAGAGGCGCAAGAGGATGGGAACAAGGCTGTGGAATGGACAGAGGACGATCAGAAGAATCTCATGGACCTTGGCCTGTCCGAGCTAGAAAGGAACCAGAGATTGGAGAATTTAATCGCAAAGCGAAGGGCGAGGAAATTCATGGGGACAAAGGTCCAGGAGAATTTACTTGACTTGGACATCGGTCCTGCGGGTTATATTCCGCCTGTTCAGATTTCGAAGAACCCTTTCGATCCCCCTAGTTGCTCAGATCGGGCTCTAGACTCGCAGATACCCAGCTCAGCTCCTTCAGTTATGTTGCCTGCGCGGAACCCTTTTGACCTTCCTTATGACCCTCAAGAGGAGAAGCCGAATCTCACAGTGGACGGTTTCCAAGGCGAGTTCCTTGCAAATCAGCCTAAGGACATCTTCTGTAGGCACGAGAGCTTCTTCCTAGGGCCCTCTTTCTCAGTAGAAACCAGCCTAGATCAAGTTCTCAGGAATGCCGATCCTTACTCTGTCACAGAGAACAGGGCTCTGAGAGAGCCACAATTCCCCAGATTCAGAAGGTTCTCAGGTCAGACTGCTTCTAATATACGTCCTTGTGCGTTCGTTTGATCTACATGTTTACTTTACAGTAATTTATGGGAGCCGTTTTCATCGTTGCAGCTAAAGGAGATCATGACAGATTAGTGGAACAAATTCTGTACCGCAGAGACTATGGAATGGGTTCTAGCAAGGCTGAACATGAAACTAAACCTGAAAATGATAATGGCGGGGGAGCAGGTCTTGAAGATAAGCGGGACGGTGCTGAGGACATCGAGCTGAAGGTGTTTAAAGATGAAAACCAAGCAGGTTCTATTGATGAAGAAGACGGCGACCAGAGCTCCATATCAACATCAGACAGTGATGGACAGGCAACAAGTGGGGATGGGAACGAAGTTCTGATCAGTCCAAAATTTCCCGATACGGCAACGATTTCTGTGCACAAGACCTTTGAATATTCAGTACCTAATGGCATAGCAACAGATGGGGATTTGTCTAGTCCACTTGCTATGGACAATCTAGAGAAGCGGACGGGCCATTCCTCCACATACTCCATAGCTTCCGACATGCAAGTGGAGGTCTCCGAATCCAGTTCCCCTCGGACTGTAGATTACGCTACTTCACCTGCTGAGCTCGAGTGCTCCACTAATTCTGAAGATGTCGGAAAGGAGGTTACTCCGTGTAGTGAAGAAATATGGGGAGCCTTGTCCCACCTAACTGGAGTAGAGGAAGATGAACCAAAAGGCGACATAGATAATTTCAAAGCAAACGATAGCTCGAAGGATCCATTTGGATCATCCATTTCCCTCCAAGAATTGTGTAAAGAAGATTCAGCTGATGGAGTTTTTACGACCACAAGCCTGAAAGTCACAGTACCGACAGAAGGTCCAGATATATCGGATTCTCATGATAAAAGCCATACGATGGGGTCTGATTATCCTCCAGAAGCTAAAGACCTACAATCAACACCACCGGCGCAGAATTTGGTGCCCCATCAAGCTGAAGAGAGACAATCCCAGAAGACAGAGGTCGGTTGTTTTAATTTGATTGTGCCATAAAAAATAGTCTTCCTAAAACAACAAATTCATGTAATTAAGTTTCCAGACTGTAAAGACTGTCTGAACCAATGGAAGATGGTAGGCGTAAAGAAATACATGTTTTCTATTATCTATGAACACGATTTCTTCTTCTGCCCATTTGATGTTCTCTTTGTGGCGTTAAGTTTGTTCTGCTTTTCCTATCAACTGTGGACTAAGTAACGACAGAACTGAGCATCATAGCTCTTATATACAAGCTGAAAGCATGTGATTTTCGTGTCATGTGACCTACAACTAGAAGCTCATCGAGTTAAGCAACACAGAAGTCTAGAAACTGTTCAAAACTATCTCCGAAGTTCTAAAGTTTCGATTGTCAAAATAGATCGTAAGTCTGATAGAGAAACTAGTCCGACACTAAAGTGATAGAGGACGTAGTGATTCCTACTGCTGGCATTTCTAATATGACTTGAGAATCCATTCGGATGCTTTTCTTTTCTTGTATACAAGTGCACCTATCGGAAAACTCTGACATACATATATATTGCTTACATGTAACAGGAATCGGTTAATCCTCTTGAGAAGTCGACTGGAGAAGCCAACAGCACACAAGGAGATATGGACTCCAGTGATAGCAATAAGGAAGAAGTAGACAACTTGAAAACCAGCGGAGAAAGTTAAAGGATTCTCTTCAGGACCAAGACCTCTACTTTTAGCACTAGTTCAAAGATACGTGGGTGAATGCTTGAGGAACAAAAAATCAGCACCAACACAAATATGAATGCATCACCATCCTTCTCAATGCCAGTCAAGATCAGCCGATGCTGAGGCATCTCCCAACTGGCTGAAACAAGTTCTGGGGAACATGAACTGGTCGATCACCCAATAGAACTCCAATGTTCTTGCGGCGGTAATTTAATTGATTCTCTATTTTCTTATGGAGTTAGAAGCGGAATGGAATCTAATAGTTTCCGGCACTGTACGCTTGGCGTGGTGCTGAGAGATTAGTTAGAGCAGGCAAAGAACAAGATAAACAGATACGAGATGTTGCTTATCCAGATGTACTAATAAGAAATTTACGAAGGCAACGTCCTGTATATACAACTGCGATGTTCTTTTCACCAACCTATTGAAGTTAATGGAACTAATTTCTGATCAATCTCTGTAAATATAAGATTAGAGTTCTTTTATACAAGTTCCTTTTGTAGTATGTACTCTCTTCTCGCATACATTCACACTATTTCAATGACTTGACCGGTTTGTTAGATGCAACGAGAACAAATTCAGTCCATTCATATTAAACAATTAGGACGCTGTTCAGTGAATTCGTTTTGCACCTTCTTGAGCTTAATAAGATTTGTACAGTGGCATTTTCTACCAAGTACAAAAACTACATTCTGAATTGTCGCCTTGAGCAGCTTTGACCAGCTCAGATGCTAAGAATACTGACCAATATGGCTCCTATTCTAAAGACAACTGTTTCCCTTGCACAATCTCGAAGAGTATTAGTGGAAGAGATGCACTGCTCTCTAGTAGCTTGTAGCCTCGAGGAAGTGAAATGGAAAATCGTATGTTTCTTCGTATTTGAGTTGAAAGGCAGAGTCAGTCACCATAGCTCCATCTTTCTTAAGTTTCTAGCAGAGCTAACGATGACTCTTACCAATGTGCAACATGGCCTTGCTTAACTGTTTCGATGGTGGGGCTCGATTAAAGAAGATTTGAACGCCAGGGAAAGAAAAGGTAAGAAAAGTCCATTAACGTATCCCTCCCTTCCATACAACTTGGCTTGTTGTTCTATCGCTGATACCATTTTTCACTGTCCCTTAATCAAATTATATCAGCAATAAACCACCCCACTTTCTCCATATCTGATAAATGTGGACGCTAAGACCCTGCCAAATAAGGGTTCTGAGTCAATCTAGCAGTAGGGTTCAAAATGGTGTACTATTCAATGAATGTGTATCTCTGTCAATTTTGCATCTTTTTCTTGGCAAGAGGTGTCATGTTGCTGTCTCACCGCGCTAATGTCCCATATAATTACAAGGTATAAAATTCTTTTCTAGAGCTTAAATGGCATTCAATTGGTGTATAATTGAGCCTTTAAGTGCATCTTCTGCTTTATCAATCTCTGAATGATCGTAACTGGGGAAAGTGAGGGCCCACAGAAGATTTACTCTTAGATCTCCATGGGCCAGAGAAGCATCATACGGAATCAAGCTTCAATCTCTCCGCCTCATCTCATTGAATGATTGCTTCTAAGTTATATTCAAAACTGCACTAATCACAAGACGGTCTACTTCATCTCATCTCGTACACAATGGAAGAGTAACTTATGTATATGTAGATCTGCACAGTGTCAACTGTTGAATGGTAAATTAAGAACAGGGTAACCAGATTACAGTGAGAATCAACGACATTATGTAGACTTGTTTGCAAAACTTAAATGAAAATAGTTTTAGAAGTAGGTGGCAAACTTCGTCTTCATTCCAGTGTAATCATATGAAAAGGCCTAATTATAGCATAAACAACCAATGTTTCTCTATGAATAATTTTGCTGGTAAATTAAAGGGAAGAATCAGAATATTTATCGGAAATGGACAAAACAAGATGGACCGAAAGTGCGAAAATTCTGATATAATTGAATCTAGATGTAACAAGGATAAAGTGGCCAAAGATGCCTCCACATGCAACTTGCAAATAGAGGGCTTTGTCTTTTGAAAAGAGATGGTGATTTCTTTTGTCATGTACTGTCTTAAAGCTAAATGGGACGGCTGTTTATTCATGTTTCCTCGAAATTCATTTCCCTTGAGTGGCGCTCGCGTAACACACCATGCGTGGGACAAGGGCGCTGTATTAGTAGCTGTTCTTGTGATAATTGCTACCGAATGGATGCTCCTAACAAACAATATAAGCAAAGCAACAAAAGAAAAGAGCCTAAGAGATGGACCTGACGGTTTGTACAATTTGTCATCTTCCAATCTTTCATTCTTTTCTCTGCTCTCTATCCGAAAAATCTCCCAACTCCAACCTAACACACCAGAAAACACACACAAAAGGTTAAGAGACAAGGTAGAAATGAACACAGAACAATCAAACAGATTAATCTTATTCTCCACAATCAATCAATGAAATTTTTGGTCGTTAGTCTCATCAATTGTTAGGTACTTTCAAAAGAAGGCATCCCCGAAATAGGCCTGATAAGAAGAAACGGGTTTTTAGGAGCTTATGCGGACATAAAAAGCTAGATTATTAAATCCAAGAGCGACCGATGGAGTTTCTTTGAATATGTACACAACCTGTCCTCGCATGGCAGGAGGAGTCTTTGTTTTTTCTCCTAGTTTAACATACCGTTTGGAGTGTTCAAGTCCGTACAAATGCATGCGCAACGGAGGACCAGATCAGTTGACGGTGCTCAACTGCTGTCTGCTGAGCTCAACTGGAGTTAGCGGTAAACAGTCTATTGTTTTTTCGTCCGATTAGGTTATTAACTAAATTGTGAGTTCAACGTAGTGCTCGATTGGAATATAGATCCTTGCACTAAGACAACAGAAAAGAAAATTTAGGTCAATGGAATTCTCAAAAAATTCTAAACCACGCTGATTAAGAAAAGATAAAAGCACCCTTTCCTCCACCTAACAAAAAAGCTACATGAGTCTGTCTTCATCGAAGGGTCACAAGTCAAGAGCTTCAGAACAGGGAGACCTCATCGATGATTGCCATCCCATTGGTGCCGTACAATTAGAATCGCTCGTGTATGATGATTCCGTGGACTTACAGAAACAGGTCTCATACCCCTTGGAATGGTCTTGCCACCATTGATGATCAAATCATGGAGGGAGGAATATTAGGAGCTGTTGTTGTGGCAAAAGAATAAACCACAGTTTGACATTATTGAGAATGCTGTGATCTGAATTGAATCTTTTAACTTTTCAAGGACATATTTCTTACTCTAATTATTCAAACAGAGTCCTAGGAGGGGATCTTCTTTTTCATTAAGAGCAGGATCTCTTGAGAGAGATCTCAAGGAGAAAGAGGGGTTTGAAGAATATGATGCCTCAGTTAGTGGAATGAAGAGTCAGCTTCAACTTGAAAGTGTTTGAGGTCCAGTCAAGTCTAATAGGGCATTTCTTTTGCTGTTTTTTTCATTCTGAGTAGTGGAACAGTCTAAAAGACTCGAAGAAAAGGAGGAAAGCAGGCAATTAAGAAGGGAGGGATCATATGGCAATTTTGTGCAACTGCTAGAAATTCGGCATCTGAAACATAGTCTCGTCATTATAAAAAAAACAAGCAAATTTCATGATCTATTTGAGCCAGAGGATCAAATCACGGTGTAGCTACAACTTCAAGTTCGGTCGATACTTAAATCATGAAATTTCATTCTGGCCATTTGCTTCAAATTCATAAAGCAAACATCAACATAGAAAAAAAAGTGCTCCAATCAAATCTGAAATTGAATTCAGTCGTTGATATTCCCCTGTTTTCCAGATTACATGAGATGAAAAAGCGAAGAACTCCAATGGCCAAGCCAAATTTCGGTATCCAACAGAACTCATTTCTGCACACAAAAACAAAGCAAAACAAACCCATTTCTTCGACACATTCTTTCTTTGCATCAAGCCACGAGACTTGCGTTTTATGCTAAGCCTTCAACTTGGGATTGAATATGCTTACTTAGGCCAGCGCCTTTATTCCATTCTCCATTGAAGTCACCTCGGATACCATTCTCAGGATGCATCCATTATCCAGAATCGCAATCTTAACTTGACGGGAAAATCAAATTAAAGATAATACCAGAAGGAACGAACTTTGGTCGCCTCTTTTTGGGTGTTAAGCAATTGTTTGCTCGAAAATGATATATTAGATCGTTCAGTCAAATGACAGACCACATATACGCCTATTGATACTGCCCTCTTCATGTTCTTCCACGGCTTTCAATGTAGAACTCTGTTGGCAGAGGCAGAAACACCAGAGTACTCAAACAAAGGTCGAGATTCTCGCTAAAGGAAAAAATCCAGCTCTGAGAATCTATACACTAGTTTTATGGCTTCCAAAAGAAACACGATCGTGTTCTCCTGTGTCCTGAGTTTAGATACTGATGAACTAACTCAAACTCTTCTAGTAAACATATTCACAGAAACCATGACAAAAGCACAACCACAGCTACACCGCTAAACTTGAAAAGACTGAAACAAAAGATGCTTCAAGCTAGTGAAAACGGGGATGAAGCTGCGATCTCATCCATGAGGATAACTCTGCCCAGCTTGCAAATGAAAAATGGGGTTCTGAACACTGACTAAAGTCCCTCTGTGAGTATTCTGCCCTTGAAATTTAAGCCCAAGAGAGTTCACACTGAAATGTGGGCACATGGACATATCCCCTTGTGTCGCATGGAAGGTCATGGGCCCTCCATTGTTTGGCTGATTCCAGAGAAAGGGAGTCCTGGGTGCTGCTGCGGGGGTCGGTTGCCGAACCACCATGGATGAATGATCTGGCGAAGGCGGCCTTTTATCGTCTGGTGAAGGAGTTCTAGTCTCTGTGAGATTCACAGTTGTGATATCGTGGATGCTGGCTCTTCTCTTGTCTTTTCCACCTGAAAGTTGCCTGATGAAGTATTTCTGTGCGTGGCTAGCTACTTGCGTCGGCGTTCTCGTGATCACAAAGTTCCTGGAAATGTTTCTCCAATCACCTTTCCCATATTTCTTTAGACCCATCAAAAAGAGCCTGGAGAGAAATTCGCATAACAGGTCCATAAGTATACATGAACAGATATATTAAGCACTAAATTTAAGCAAACACCAACTGCCCTCGTATAAAACCCACTGAATTTGCAAGATTAAGGTCCTTCTAGATTAAAATTCTAAGACAACCCTATTCTTAGATCACTTATCCTTGTTCATCCTGCTTCTAAGTACCGACAAATTAAGCTCATCCAGCAGACAGTGAATGAGATCACTGGAGATTGACTCAAAGCAAGTGCAATGAAAAACATTATGTCTTACTTGTGCTCTTCCTCTGTCCAAGGAACACCTTTCTTTCTCTCTTGTTCGGGAGGCCGAATCGATGGAGATCTCTTCCCACCAAGCCCATAAGACTGTTTGAAACCATCATATCCATGGCCATTTACCCATTCCAATGTGAAGGGCGATGTAGTGCTATAGCCAGGGATAGGGATAAGCCCTGCTTCTATATTGCTCACATCAACTTCCAAATCCTTATAGTGCTTAATCACATCTTCCACCGTCTTCCCAGGGATCATCGAGGCGACCCTATGCCACCGATCTGGCGTGTCCTTATCGTGCACCGCCAGCGCTTTTTCGAACATTTTGTTCTCTGCAGGGGTCCATTTCGCAGTCCTTCCTTCGTCAAGAAACCAATTCGCATTCGATGCGTATGGTGGGGATGAGAGAACTTCCATTTCCCACTTCATCACATGGGAATCACACAACCCCTCCTTCAGACTAAACTCAAGTCAGATGCTGAAGGGCGACCAAATTCTCGATCTGCTTAAAAAAGAGAGGCCGCTTTTCGACTTCGAAGGCGAGACAGAGAGAGAGAGATAGAGAACAAAGAAAAGGGTGTGCTCAAATGGGAAATGCGGAGAGCTTTGGGTTCACCACAAAAATATCCGTGTTAAATTACCAAGCATCTTGAAAGGAATCAGAATACTCCTTTTCCCCTGTGCAACCATAGCCTTAGGAATCTCATAAAGAACCGACTTTTTTTTTTCCCAATACAACAAAGACAACCTCTCAAAATATAAGCAACAAATCACAGATAATCAGAAAATTCGAACACGAAGCTTCACAACGAGGCTGGAGATCTAAACCCAATAAGCCATCCAACACAACTAGAAACAAGAATGCAACATATCAAAAGAAGAAGAAACCAGAGACCCCAAAAACGAAACCAAGGACAGGGAGGCTCTATCAGATATGTCAACCAACTCTCCGCCGACGGCAACTCAGTGCTTCAAGAGACGAACCCAAAAGCAAAACTTCCAGCAAAAGGCAAAGCTGGGAGGAGGGCGAAAGCCAGAGCCTTCCGGGGAGGGCTCTGAATTCATGAAGCAGCGAGGAGAGAGCAAGGGGGGAGAGGGGGAGAAAAGCAGGGGAGAAAAAAATGATGGGGTTTCTTTCTTCCTTTCCCTTGAGGCCAGAGCAACAAGGCAAAGAGAAGAAAGAGACCAGCGGTGTCTATCAAACTAGAATATTGAACTACAAAGCAGAGCTTTTGCTTTGCTAGCTTCAGGGGATGAATCTGCCAATACCTGTGCCACAGAGAGGGGTGGGGAGAGGAACAGGAACCAAGTAAGAGAGAGAGAGAGAGAGATGGTAATGGTAATGGGAATGCAGACGAAGGTGGTGGTGAGTCGTGATTGGAGGGGATGGGATACTGCACTTTGTGAAAAAAGTTCCCTCTTATTATAATCACACTCCCTGTTCCATCACTCTTTTTTTCTTTTTTTTTTTTTGCCTCCATTTAATTATTGCACAGACCCATTTTTGTATTTATTTTTCAGATCTCTCTAATTTAATGAGGTGGTCCGTCTCCGAACCTAAATAAATTGTTCATATTTCGAGACTATTTGTTAAGCATACCGAATGAAAAATAGTTTGATTTTTCAAAATGTCGATTGAGTTGATTGATGTTTCTTGTTTTGTGGTCGAACTTTGAAACAATATTGCCTATATATCTTTAGAGCCACTCCGGATTCGGTAACGATAATCTGGATACGATATGAAACTGTCATGTAAAAAATTCGTATATAAGTATATGCAAAACATACGCGGCACACAGGACTATAGTCCGATCGTAATGCCTGAAGCCATCACAAGTCACAACGGATGAGAGAAAGGGATTAAGATTTGACCCAGGTGAATCGGGTTGGTTTCTGATCAAAAAAGAAATCGGGCTAGTCTATCGACAATATCCTTGCATACATTCTTTTTTTTTTAAAAAAACCCCGTTCCTGTGTTGCCTATCCATGCCGATGAGTACTCTCGGGTCATTAACAAAGGCCGTGCGACCCCCGTTTGGGAAGGGACTATATAGCCGACAGAGGTGATCATAAGATGCGACGAACTATAAGGTGGAGCACGGCTCGCTCCAAGCCACATCAAAAACTCACGAGTCGGACCAGCCTTAGATCAAACCCAAAAAGGCCCGTCTAGACATCCAATTCAATGGCCACATCGAATCTCGTCCGTAAGTGCTATCCGGTGTCTCTTAACCCATGTTTTGCTCGGTCACGTCTAGGCCGCCTACGATCACAACTCATGTCAACGCGCGTAATTTTTCTTCTTCTTCTTCTCCTTTTTTTCAGAATCGCCAATAAAACCCTTCCCCGGCCTCACGAGAGAACCGCCGCGCCACACCCCCACCTTTTCACATCGACATTCTTTCACGACGAGCAACCTCACTTCATACAAATGAAACTCGGGCTCGCACGCAAAAAAATATCCACGCCATATCTCCTAGATCAGGTTAAAACCGGACGGAACGGAACAAAATACTTCCAGAGAAAAAAAAAAAAAGGAAGGAAGAAGAATTCTCAAAGCATCTATTATTGCTTCCAAAGGGGAAAAAAGCAAAAGAGGGCCACCAGCAATGATGGAGCCAAGCGCTAGTCAACGGGTGAGGTGGGGGGCAGGGGGGGGGGGGAAGGAAGCGAAGCAAGAGCAGGTTACGCTCCGCCATCTCATCATCGGTCGATCGATCCGTACCGCGCTACATGAAGGGAAGAATTGGGATCAGGAAAAGTCCCACCTTCATTCCATTTCTATGCTAACCCGAAAAAAAAAAAACTTTCAATTTGCCGACCGGGGATTAGCATGTCGTCCTCGTTCTTATTGTATTCGGACAGATCATTTTCTTTTTATTAATATATTTTTTTTTAATGATGTCCTTAATTAAATCGGGGCGGCGTTTTGGGGGTTCTGGTAATGATCACATCATCGGAGGCAAAATTTCGGTACCCTCCCCCCCCCCCCCCCCTCCCTCCCGATCCAACCGCTCCCTGATCAGCCGCCGAAAACACTCGGGGGTCGGCATCGACGGCTGGGATTCACTTGGGGGGGCCCCGCCACCCGGAGGAGTTCGGATCGAATCGTGGACGAGTGCGGAGGCCGACACGTGGCGGCGCGTTATTGGGTGGCACTGGCGGCAAGATTGCAGCTGGCCCCTCCCTCCTCCTCCTCCTCCTCCTGGGGAGGGATGGGGATGGGGGTAGAGGGCGGGGGGGCCCAAAAGAAAAGCGTTTCGGGTCGAGCCAATGAGTGGCGGCCACGTGAGATTCGCGGCATGGGGCACGGCGTGGGAGATAGTGTCCTACGTGGCAGCAAGTTTTAGAGAGAGAGAGAGAGTGAGCCCCCCCCCCCCTACCTAGGCTTATAGTAGGGCTAGCCCCAGGAGCTCACTGACGACTCCTCCGCTTCTTCTTGCTTCTTTTATTTATCTATTTATTTATCTTAAAAAGAGAAGTTGCGCAATTTTAGAGGAATTTTTTTCTTTTAATTATCTGGAGCAACGGTTATTAAATCCTGGAATTGAGGTTTTTAAATTGATAGATCACAAATCGAGAATCCAATCGTAAAAATTCAATAAAAATATACGTAAAGTCGGTATTTTAAATTTTATAAAAAATATTGTATATTTATAAGGGAATCATAATTTTGGATACATACGGTAATTCCATGCGCAAACAAATATAGATCATATTGTTTCGTTAGCATGAGCATTATTAGATAACGAAATGAATCATAAATCTTTGTGTGTAATTCTATTTGATGGGTAAACATGTTAACTTTAAATGGCTTATATCCATGGATGCATATCAAGTTGTAGATATGCTGAAGATTCTCTCGTGATTCCGGAGATTAGAGATTCACCTAATAAATATGCATCATTCACCTCTAATCGAATTGTACAAGACGCATCGAGATTCTAATGATTTCAGGTAACTCGTGTTCTAGAACTGCAAGCATAAAGGTCGAGAAGGGAGATAAAACACCTCGCATACCCCATAAATCAATTAAATTTCCCGATCTAGTTTTAGATTTGGGAGCTCTGTTCTCCCGATCTTATATCTGGGAGCTTTTCTCTCCGATCTAATTCTAGATTTTGGAGTTTTAATGAATAAGTTTTCTACCTCCAATTTCAATGGTGTTCACAACAACTTCGATGGCAAATTGTGCCGATTCAACGTGTTTTTAGTTACAAGCTTTGGCGCATCGCACTGGCTACAGAGCTCGCTCTCACAGGTATCAGATCTGAGTATTTTCAACATGTTTATTATGTTGTCTCCGTTCGATGATGGTGTTGGCGAGGCTGAACCTAGGCACACACCGCCGAAAGGCAAAACCCTATTTACAAATGGAGATCACAGCGTGTGCTTATCACTGATGATGCTGTGTGAATCGGTGATTGGCCGCCGATCCTTTCGCTTGGATGTAGTCATAAATCTGTTCTTGAAGGATGAGCGTGTGATTATCTCTATCGTCTATGCTATGATGATATGCCTTGATTTCTGGTTTTTGGTTTTTGGTTTGTTTTGGAGCTTTGTGGGCTTACTTTGCTATTATGACTTTTGAGATTTCCTATCGTGTATCATTTTGGTAATGATTGGAAATTTGTTTTGACCGCAAAAAAAAACAACTAAATTTACGAGTGACCATAACTCAATTTAGTTTGCATGTTATTGATGAAATCTAAACAAATGACTTTGATTCTTAAGCTGACAATTTTCTCTCGTTTCATAGCAATCCTGGATTGATTTTAGAGGAATTTCCATACACAAGGGCACAAAAATTGTAGAGTTTGTAACCATACATTTGAGTAACAGTCAATTACTTTTTTTTTTCATTTCACGTATAATTAACATTTTTCGTTTTGTATAGAGTCGATATTTTTAAAAATTAATAGGTCTAGATCCAAAAGAAAGAGCAAACTCTACCTCGAGTAACAATTCTAACCCGAACTTTTCTTTATCTCATAAAAAATCACCAACTTTCACTTAAATCACAAATCTGACTTGAACAATTTGAAAATTTCACACCACAAGGGTCAGATTTGGGACTCGAGTAAAAGTTGGTGTTTTTTTTTATTAAGACAAGTAAATTTCGGTACATAATTATCTCTCGACGTAAAATTGACATTTTATTTTTTGTTTTTGGGGAATTAGCCCAAAATTAATATAAATTCTTTTGAAGGCTTTTTAAATTTCTTTATTTTCAGGAAGCGAGACCTTTTATAGAATGCCGCGGGCGAATGACGCCGAGGCACGCCATGCGCGAGCGTGCGAGCGAAACGAGCATCGCCGTCCCAATCCCATTGGTTACCAGGACAGCATAAAAGGGGCGGGTCCCACTTTGTAATTTCCCTCCATGAACACGTTTAATTATTTTCTAAAAAATAAATGAAATTTTGATTGGATTTTAAACGTGGAATAATATATTACCATGATCTTGGGGGGAAAAAAAAAATCGAGATGCTTAGCACTAAATACGAATCCGATCGTCGGGCTTTGAAAGTCTCGAGTAAGAAGGTCAAGAGAGATGCCAAAACGACAAATAATTGTGAAAAATGTATCGCGTCAATACACCACGTGCTGATATTTTGATGTACGGCATACATCTCGAAATTGAAAAGGTTGGTTCGTTCTAACCAACATTGTTCCGTATCTTTATCCCGCAATAGTCCTTAAAAAAAAGAGGGCGAAGACGTACACTCTACCAATACAAAGACATACATCACGTGCTAAAGCACGATACCGTTCGCTCCAATTGTGGCTATTCGCGCTCATTTATTTAAAATCGTGCTATGCCGGTGATGAAACTTATATGCCAGCGAAATAGTTCATGTACAAAGGATGCGGGATTAGAGACGTATCTGAACTCCACATGAAAGATTCCTTTTTTTTTTTTAATGACTATAATGGATGATAATATTTTGGAGTTTTACGAGGATTTTTTTGGGTAAAGTTACAACAAAAGAACCGGTAAAAGCTACAAAAAAAACACCTCAAATTACGTTCACTACGACACGTTTACCCTAACTTTTTTTTAACTCAGAAAACCTCAAATTCATGCTCGTATGATAAATTTACTCCAAACTCGTAACACCAAAAATCCTAAACGTAAACCCACGCCACATATGAACCCTCCGTCGAGATTTTTTTTTTCTTTTTTTCCTTTTTTCCTTCCTCCGTCACCACCGTCCTCACCACCGTCCTCACCATCACCAAACCAAGGAGGAAGTTAAAAAAGAGGAAAGAAGAAAACGAGAAGAAAACATTCAGTG